AACTGGAGTTCTTACTGGCCCTTAACTTTAGTTGTAAAAAATTACATGTTCTTTGGTATATAAGTTATGTGTTTAATGTGACATTTGCTTTATCTTCTAAGAAAATATTTTAACTTCTATTTTAGTGGAATACTGGTGAAGGATACTAAGTTAGATGGACCTTTGTTACAGATTCTATTTATGAACAATGCTATTTCAAAGTAAGTAATTTTGTCTTTTCCTAAATATGATTAATATGTTTATATAGAATGTCTCCTCTAAAATTGCTGTTTTTGTTCCCACTTAAAAGTATCCTAATTTTTTCACTAAAATACCTGGAGTTAAAGTTTATTTTATTTTGATTGAAAGCATGGAAATTGACATCAGTATAGACCTGAACTTGACTTTAGACGCTTGCTTCTATGTAGGGGAACCTAAATAAGTCAAATCTCCGCATATCGGCTTCCATACTGAAAACAGTGTGGATCTTAAAAAGCACCTGTAGCTGTTCCTGGGTGGTGCAAATGTTAAATGCCGAAGTGTGGAAGTTCATTTAAATCAAGAGACACTTCAGAAGACAGGCATGGCAATCCAACAGATCACAGCCTAGAAAATCTTCTGGAGCCAATTCTAGTCCTCACGTAAAGCGTCACCATGAGTTAGAGTCAACCTGATGGCTGCTAAAGAGATGAAGACTGGTGCCCGAAAGCCATTCCCCATTGTAGTGCCCCTACAGGACAGCATAGGACTGCCCCTTAGGGTTCCCAAGGCTGTGGTTTCTACAGAAACAGACTGCCTTGTCTGTCTCCCATGGAACAAGCGGCTGGTGGGCTTGAACCACAGGCCTTTTGGTTAGTAGCCACGAGATGAACAACTACCTCCCTGTGTGGTTTCTCAATAAATAAGCCCTAATTAGAGACCCACTGGACTGTCATCCATAATTCTATTAGCTATAGTGCTCCAAAAATCAGGTAACTTTACGGACGAACTTTAGCACTTGCCCACAAGATGATTTGCTTAATATCAGAAGTAGATTTTTGCAAGCCTTCCGGCGT